ACCCAGCACCCAAAACCTCCCAACCAGCACCAAAAAAACCTCCCACCCAGCACCCCACCCCTTGCCCCCCGCAGGGTGCTGGCCCCGGGAGCACCCTCACCTCTTGTCGGAGGGGTAGAGCTCGACGGTGAGGACGTCCAGGGCGTTCCAGGAGGCGATGCTGACGCCGCCGAAGAGGCAGAGCAGCGCGATCATGGCCGACTCGCTGTTCCCAAAGGAGAGGAAGAAGCAGCTGACACAGGACATGACGCTGGAGCCGGCTGTGGTGGGACACGGGGACACGTCAGGGTGGGGAATGGGGATGAGCATCCTCCCTGCCCACCCCGTCCGAGAGGGGAAACTGAGGCAGGAGATGGTAGAAGGGTTTGGGTTGGAAGGGACCTTTGAAGACCATCTAGTTCAACCTCCTGCCATGAGCAGGAACATCTACAGTTGGACCTGATGACCATAAAGGTCTTTCCCATTCAAAATGATTCTCTGATCTTCAACCAGATCAGGTTGCTCAGAGCCCCGTCCAACCTGACCTGGAATGTCTCCAGAGATGGGGCTTCTACCCCCTCTCTGGGCAACCTGGGCCAGGGTCTCACCACCCTCAGCATCACAAATTTCTTCCTCAGATCCAGTCTGAATCACAGGAGGGTTTGGGTTGGAAGGGACCTTCAAAGCTCATCTAGTCCAACCTCCTGCCATGAGCAGGAACATCTACGGTTGGACTTGATGGTCTTAAAGGTCTTTTCCAACCAAAATGATTCTCTGATCTTCAACCAGATCAGGTTGCTCAGAGCCCCGTCCAACCTGACCTGGAATGTCTCCAGGGATGGGGCTTCTACCCCCTCTCTGGGCAGCCTGGGCCAGTGTCTCACCACCCTCAGCATCAAAAACATCTTCCCTGATGCCCACCCAGCATGCGAAGGCGGCCGATCTTGTCCATGAGGAGGGCTGAGACGATGTTCCCGGGGAGGACAGCCAAGGTGCCCAAGAAGCTGACGAAGTAGATCATGTAGGCGTTGTTGTCATCACTGAAGTCCAGCTGACAGCCCTCCTTGTTGTGCAGGAAGGTGCTGTTCACCACCCGGCTGTTGATGAACTTGTACTCAAAGAGATCTGTTGGGATGGAGAAGAAGTTTGGAGGGGTCACCTCCATCTTCATGACCCCTTTTGGTGACCATCTTGACCCTCCCTCTTACCTGTGTTGTAGAAGACGGTGGAGATGAAGGTGCAGTTCTTGAAGAAGGTGTTGCTGGAGGTGATGTCCTCAAAGTAACACTCCTCAAAGAGCGAGTCCTCAAACGTCACCGACTTCATCTTCAGGCCGATGAACCTGGTGGGGTGGGATGGGATGGGATGGGGTGGAGAAGGAAGAACCCAGCTCATCACCTCCACTCATGCAACGAGCAGGTCCAGCCTCAGCAGCAGCCGGGCCGTACTTGTCGTTGAAGTACTCGCCGCCCCGGTGGATCTGGTTCTCCAGGGTGAAGTTGAAGGTGAAGTGTCGGACCTTCTCGTGGGTGAAGAGCTTGGTGCGTGACGAGTACTCGATGTTCTGCAGGTGCTTGATCATGTCCGGGAACCAAACCGTCAGCCCGTAGTAACTGTGGGACAGGGGCTGAGCCCGGGCACCGCCACACCAGTCCCGTCCCAGTACGGCCAGTCCCATCCCAGTACGGCCTGTCCCATCCCAGTGCTGCCAGTCCCATCCCAGTACTGCCTGTCCCATCCCAGTGCTGTCAGTCCTGTCCCAGTATGGCCTGTCTCGTCCCAGTACAGCCTGTCCTGTCCCAGTCCCATCCCAGTACAACCAGTCCCATCCCAGTGCTACCAGTCCCATCCCAGTGCTACCAGTCCCATCCCAGTGCTGCCCATCCCATCCCAGTCCCATCCCAGTGCTTCCTGTCCTGTCCCAGTCCTATCTCAGTCCCATTCCAGTGCTTCCCATCCCATCCTGTCCCATCCCAGTGCTCCCTGTCCCATCCCAGTCTCATCCCAGTGCTTCCTGTCCTGTCCCAGTCCCATCCCATTCCCATCCCAGTGCTTCCCATCCCGTCTTAGTCCCATCCCAGTGCTTCCCATCCCATCCCAGTCCCACTCCAGCCCCACCACGAGGTGCCATCGCCGGGGTGTCCCTGTGTCACCTGAAGGACATGGTGAACCAGACGGCCATCATCATCAGCGTCACCCGGCGGTACTGGGGCGCGAAGCACTGCTGGAAGTTACTCCAGACCTGGGGGGGTGGGGGGACATGGGAGGTGACGAGGGGACATGGGAGGTGACA